CGTCCATAAATAGATAGCTTCTTAAGTAAAAGCTCGTGATTTATCACGTCGAAAGCCTTTCTAAAATCGACAAAAGCTAAGCCAGTTACCATATTATTATCCATATTAAAGAGCAGTTCATCAGTTAATTTAATCAGTGCCGTTTCCGTGGAGTGATTAGGACGAAAAGCTGACTGGAGGTTGTATAGCAAATCATAGCTGTGCAGGTGTTTGCGGAGAGATGTTGCAACGTGTCGTTCAAGGATCTTAGAAAGAACGGGTAATACAGAAATTGGTCGATAGTTGCTTGTGTCTTCACGAGAGCCACTTTTAAATAAGGGAGTAATTTGAGCGGTTTTCCATGACGAAGGGAAACATCCAGTGGAGATGGAAAGATTCATAAGGCGACAAAGGGGGTGGACCAGAACAGATGCCGCTAACTTAAGCACCTTCGCACTAAGGCCGTCACATCCAATTGCCTTACTTGAAGGGATCTTTTTAATGAGATCAAGCATTTGCGTCTCAGTAATAAAGAAGTCCTAAAGTCATAAAGAAGAACAAATTCTTCATCCTTGATAATATCAAAGATGCAAAATGTTAATTACCAAAGCATCAGGGAGGAAGCTTAATTCACCACTTGTCATGATCTAAGCCTCGAAGGATGCGCAATACTAAGATCGCAAAAAAACAATGTACATGCATGAAAAGATGACATTAACTACACAAATTTCCCAAAAACTTATTTAATAAGCTCAATTCTACAGAAAGTAAAACTAATACTTCCTTTCCAAAGTTAATTCGTTCAATATTCCAAGTGGAATTAAAAAACTTATCTCATTTGGTATCCAAACCACTTTGTATGGAGTAAATCTTGCTGAGGTCACCACATGTGCACTTGACGAGTGGTGTACACAAAACTAATTTCGTTTCCCATAATTGTACGTGTGTGTAACTGTATCTTTACGATGAAAATTGATCAATATTCTAGAATTTATGACACATTTTCCTTGCTACATGTGAATCACTTTTCAACCCAACGAGATAACATTCTCAAACCAGTTTCTTATCCATATAATTATTTACTGTGTGCGCCATTCTGAAAATGGCATTCCTGTCCTCTTGCAAAATCTCTCTATTAATAATTATCACTGCAAGAAGTGTTTTTGTCCATTCCTTCGATATTAAGAAGCAAGGAGATTAACGGCACTGTACTTGATTTTTTTCTTTTTTTTTATTCACATTACCTTACAAAATACAAATACAGTCACTTACATTACTTACAGTACATTATATGACTACTCACATTATTTATAGTATAACAACGGTTTACACTACTTACAAAACAGTTCAAAGCTTACTCCACTATTATTAGATTCTACTATTACTACTATTACTACTAAACGCCACTGTTACTAGTTTTACAGTGTTATAATACACTATACTATAAAGTACTAACACAGATATTACTACTTCTAGTATTGCAATTAGCTTAACCAGTTACCATTTCATTAGCCACTTTTTATTAAATTTATCTAAAGTATTATTCTTCATACACATATTTTTCTGTTTCAAACTTATTTTTAACTTTTAATTTGAAGCCAGTTATATTGGCTAATATTTGAGTTCTTCTGCAATCCCGTAATTATATCTTAATTAGCTATTAGTAATAAGTAATTAAGTAAAGGGCATTTCGTGATTATAATACCTACAATAACATCTTTCAAGGTAAGATGTACAAATTTTTTTGAAAGTCACTAAAAATAAGATTCAAAATCTCTCCAAAAACTTTTTGTTTTTATGCAATCAAAAAGAAGATGACTCAAGGTTTCTGATTCAGACTTGCAAAAGGAGCATTTATCTTCTCTCTGAAGAAATCCAGTCATCCCAGACCTCTTACATATCCTATAATTTGTATATATAGGATCCTATAAAGAACCTATATTACATGAAATCCTCCTATATTTCCTTAAAATTTATTAAAATAGGATTACTGCCAAATGATACATTTATTTTTGATGCACTTTTTAGCATTTTTGCAGACAAAAGCTAATTAAATTCTCTCCTATGAATATTCACTCACTATTTCTCACTATTGGCAAAGCCAATAAAAATAAATATTAAAATTGACATTAACAATATAATAATGGGCCTTCTGTGGTAGTAAACACAAACAAACCACTGCTTAGGTCTCATATTTCAACCAAATTTTGTTCAAGTTTGGAGAGTTCGTGTCAAGTGCAAACTGAATTACCCAAGCCAGTTTTTACACAAGTTTTTATTAGTACAATGTTTAAGGACCGTATGAGTCTCAGCATAAACCAAGGTTTATATAGCACCTGCCTGAATTTTAATCGTGACTTTCAGCTAAAATATAAATTTCTTTTGGTTAAGATTAAAGCAGTACTAAAATATTATTGTTTGCTGTTCAGATTACTGCTAACTTAAAGTTGAATATTTACCGCCAAAGTAGAAGTAAAATCCTCAATGCACTGATGCATTGGAAAGTATTTTCTCTCTCTTTCTTCCCTTTGCATGCAAGTTAAATAATTTTTGAGATAATATATGAAATGGCCCATTTCATCTTAAATCACATGTATCATTTCCCCTTCTGCTTCTGTTCACCAGATAAATGCAAAGTGGAAGAACATTAAAAAATGAATTCTCCTTCCATAGATAACCCAAAATAAACACCTACTTGATCTTTGAAAAGTATGAATTCAAAAGCTAGAAAGCCCAAGTACATTGTCTCTACACAAAGCCTCATTTTCCCTCATTGGGTTCATGGATTTCCAGCAATGAAAATATCAGAAGAAGACTCATCAGGTCCTGTATCACCATTTTGGTGCCACTTTTGATATAAACGAACCACACATCCAATGATCCCGATTATTGCAGCTAATACAGCAATTATGGAAACAACAATTGTCACAGCTTGATTATCTGAAACATCTGTTCCTGAATATACCATGAAACAATAACAAGAAACAATAAGTTAAATATCTTCCTGGCATAATTATCTGCATCAAACTGTGAGACTTTTACAAGATTAAAAACATTTCTCTCCTGATGTCCTGGAGCATGACAACAACTCAGATATTTTTTTGTTGTCAAATAAACTTCAAAATAGATTTTCTCAGGAACTAATACGAATATTGAAAAAAACCTCACAATTTTTGTTTGCCTATTATCTGCTAAGTGATGCAGTCTAGTTTGTTTGGAGGTCCACAGTAATGTGGATGCCACTGGTAATTCATGTATTAAATATAAGCAAACACTTAAACTGCTTAAAGGCTTGTGCATGCCTACCAAAACATAAAATTTGTTATTTTCGTAATCTATTCCTGATAAGCTTTACAGTGATAATTATAATTTTATTCTTTCCCGTGGTTACTAGCTTTAAAAGAATCACACATAGGACAATTTTTCCAGAAGGCACCCTAGTTTGTTAAAAGATTAGATGATTTTGAGATGCAGTTCATGGGAATCATTTCAAAATGAATAGTCTAGTACACAACAAATGTACAGAGTATGAAGTAAACTGGCATTGTGACATTGTTGTGGTGCAGGGCAGTCAAAATATCTACACATTTTTGCTTCCTTTTTCTAACTTGTGGGTATCCAAAGTCAAGAAACCAGTGTTTATGGGAACTCTGATGTGTTCACTCAGTCAAGGGGAGACACTATCAGTGAGTGGTAATTACTCATCCTAAACTTGCCTAAGTGTGACACTATCATCTTGGAATTATCATATAATAATAACTACACATAAACAGTGGCCAGGCTTTTTGCAGTTTATACTGGCCAATCCAGCTGGAGGCTGTCTCTTACTCATTTTCTTAGCATAAGGTGATTGTAAGTGTTGCAGCCTAACTACAGTCCCTTAGCATGAAATACCAGTCCATTGCAGGGTTACCCCTAGCATTTTATCAGTAAGCTAAAGACAATTTGCTAAGTACAGTCAAGCCTCGATTATGTGGATTTGTTGGGACTGGATGGAATGATAGCATAATCGAAAAAGTGAATATCAATGAGCCAAAACAAAACTGAACACATATAATTTAAATCCTAGTGCATCTTTGTTAACATCTGCCAAAATCATTTTCAAAAAGTCAAAAGAGCTAACCATTGCCAATAACATTTCATCACCTGAAGTGTTGAAAAAAATTAGTTTAATTGTTTCAAGCTACTACTGTGTTTGCATGTCACTAATTTTATCCCTCTTTGAAGCCCCATTAATGAAATAGTGTCAACATTGCTTCATTACATTATGCTTTGTTTGATGAGAAAAAGTTATTACAGATCTCAAATGTGACTAATTAATATTCATAAAAATCATCAGGTACCAAAGGGGCTAGTCCCAGATATTTGAAAAATTGTGATAATCGAATTATCAAGGTCTGGATAATTGAGGTTTCAACTGTGTCCATTTATACTCCTGAGTAGAAACAGAGTTAAGGTATTGTGAGGGGAAACTGTTTTGTCCAAGAACAGAACACAATGGCCTCAGACCAGGCCTCAGGTCTGGACCTCTCAACTTGGAGTTTAAGGTAGTAAACACTAGGCCAAACCCAGTCTCTCACATGGTTATTGTCAGTGAGTCATCAAAAATTCTCAGGTTGACAATTTCCCAAACAATTCTCACCACCTATCTGTCTGAGATTTAATCCACTTTACACAATTTTACCATACCTGTTGGTGGTGTATTTTGATCACTTTGAGATGAAATACTTAGTGTAGAGCCGACAACTGAAAGAAAGAATAACAACTTTTGCAACAAATAAAACTTTTCATGACATGGAAAAGATTATACAATGTAGGATTTCTGGCTATACAGTGTACAATCAATTGATTTTTAAAAGTTCCCACTTTAATTGTTTTATCCTCACTAAGATAGCTTATAGTGACCAAAAATATGTTCCCAGTTTTCTGAAGACCACAACAGAACTTCTGAATATTTCAGGGTACTGATAACATTTAGGCTTGCCACTTAACCCAATAAAAGCATTACTTTTAATCCACTTCACACAATTTTACCATACCTGTGGGTGGTGTATTTTGATCACTTGGAGATGAAATATTTACTGTCAAGCCAACAACTGTGAGAAAGTCAATAACAACATTCACGATAAAATAGGACTTTTGATGACATGGAAAAGATTTTACATTCTAGGATTTCTGGTTAATATACAGTGTACAATCAATTGTATTTTAAATGTTCCCACTTTGTTTTATCCTCACTAAGATAGCTTACGGTGACCAAAAATAAATTCCCAGTTCTCTTAAGACTGTAATGGCACTTTTGAATATTTCCAGGGCACTGATAACATGCAGGTTTGTCACTTAACCCAATTATAAGAATTAACTTTACAATAAATGGTGGTTGAGGGGCTAGCAGTGTTGTGAACACTTGGAGACATCTTAGGGCTAGAATAATGCTGTTAATTTCCTTTCTGAGATCAGAATGTTAATCTTCCTTAATTTAATTTACCAACACACATTTCCTTACCAGCCTACATGTCTGTCATGAGAATTTGGAGTTATGTTGTTACCTCCTGTTAAAGGGTGTTTAACTACCAAGATGATTGATTGTTAATTCTCCTCTCTAGCTGCTACGCATTTTATGTAAATTAGTTCCAATAATTTGGTTTGAGATCAAGATTACAACTTCTAGCCAATAACATTAAGTATTTTCTTTGTACCTTGCTGAATAATGTATGGGTGTTGTATTAATGACTAGAATTTGCACACACACACGTATGTATCTATGAGTTTTTTACATTAAAACTAGAAGTCCATCTTGAAGATTCAAGAGTGTGCATTTGTTTAGACTGGCCACAGATGTGTAGTTTATATCTACCTACAGGTATCACAGGGAGAAATTACATCTTGACCACTTCTGGGAGTCAAAGGATCAAAATTGTGAGGAGGGCCCTTATAATGATCTCTCGCATTAGTAAGTAGTGAATTTAACAAGCAATGATTCTGCAATGAAAAAATTTTAGACTACCTGAATTTGTTGGTTCAGAAGTGCTGTGAGCTCTTGCTTTCACTTGGTTATCAAGTTTTCAAGGGAAAAAGCAGAAGTGGAAAGGAAGTTAGCAAAAAAATTAATTACACTCTTAATTAGAAGTAGATTACTGAAGAAAGATACAGTCAGGAAGGACCAGGTTTTTCTTTCTATTCAACTTAAATCTATAACTGACTAGTATCCCTTCCTACCAGCACCATGCATTTTGTTGCCATGTACCTAGTAATTAAACATGCTATTCATACAAACTTGACCCTTTCCCTTGGCTGTGAGTGACCAAGACAGAATTCCTCCTTACCATAGCAATACAATATCAAACAGTAAGGTGATGAGAATAAGGCAAAATATCAGTTAACCCAACTCCAAATTCTCCAAACAAACATTGATTCATAAGAATTGTATGGCAGAGTAAGGAGACAATCAGACTATAATTATATACTATCACAAACATTTCTTTCTTGGTTCACATAATTATAAGCCAGGGTCAGAGGTTAATGAGGATTAAATACATGTTCCAAAATGTTATCATACCCAGTAATTGGTGGCCTAACAATGCTTTGAGCACTTGAAGTTGAAACAAATTGAAACTACATGAGCAGTCATTTAAGAGTCATTAAATGCCTAGTGTCTAATCATCAATTTATCAAAAATAAATATTTATTAGAGAGTATAACCATATTAACTAACCTTTTTCTATGGTTACACGAAGCCTTCTTTTGTCGGAGACATCATTCTTATACCAACTAAATAAGTGTTTTAGAGTGTAGCAATCTGTATAATTAACATGATCCTTTCGTTGAGGTGGTATCTCCATAGAGATATGAGTGCTGTTACAGAAAAATTTTGCTTCAAGGCAAAATTTCTTTAAATGTGTTTTCCATGTTGGATCACAGGATATGCATGTTGATGGTCGCTCCATTACCCCAATCAATTCTGAAAAATGGAAGATGCGATAGCCTCTAAACTTTCTTGTGGAGTCAAGAGTGTTGCGCTTCCAAGTGATCGTAACATTTTCACCTTCAACAATCCTTTTAACAGTCCAGGGCACTAAAAGGAAATAAATTCCTTATAATAAATAACACAGCTAGACCAAACATAATGAATAATATACAGGCACAAAAAAGAAACAGAATCTGGTTCCTTTAAAGGATACTCATAACCTGGGAATCTAATTTAAGTTTCATTTCTAAGCTTTATTTGATTTAATTGTGATGAGCTATATTTCAACTAGGTCTATCAAGAATCCTCACAGAAATGATGAAAACTCATGAAAATATTTATTGTTTGTACCATACAAAACGAAGGGTCTAACTAAAAATTATTACTGAGCCATTCACAAATTTTTTAATTTTGGCAAGGCAAACATCTTTTTGAGGTAAAAATTGGTTGGCTAAAGTGCAGCAATGATGATTATTAACATAGTGTACAGAAGCATAATTGCAAGCCTTCAACACAAAAAGTTCTTCGGTAGTAATTTTTTTTCTAGCTCATCACTGCCACTAATTTGAGATGAAGGGAACTTTACATTACTTTTTTCATTGTTAGTTTTGGAAAATTTACGTTTTTCCTTCACTTGTGACTTGTTACATTGACCTACTTGTTTGCAATTATAAGAGTTTTCTAACGTATAGATGAAACCCCAAATTATAATCAGAAAATCATTTTTCCCCTCACAGTGTAAACACATTTCCAAACAGAAATTTGACAATCAATAAAAATATTGTCATCTACATTTCAGCCTGATGCATTGCAACTTATGGTGTAAGCTTTGAAATTGGTTTCATGGGTATGACTGAACAATTACAATTTGCTGGAAGTAAAAACTGGCAGTAACCCTCACACTCTCACTAGTTCAATACATTATAATCATTAACAGACTTAAGTATACAGTTCAAGGGATAAATAACACCAAGAAAAAAGGAGATTGTGCAAATTATAAGAAATGTATACACAGTAAGGATTTCATTAAGAACCTTGAGTTACTTTTTTTTTTTTTTTACATATATTTCCAACTGTATCCACAGTCAGAGTTAATAGATATAATTTTTGGGAATATCTTTCTTTGTAGGAATAACCACATGTTATGAAAATATTTTAACAATGCTAGACAAAGTTAATTTGTAAATTTGTTAAAGCATGCAGGTTTGAACTAAATCTACAAAATAGCATTAGCAGTCCCAGAAAGTAGTTCATCAAACATTGCATACGGCAAAGGGGAAATTTATGTATGGCAAAACTTCAAAGCCTTTAAATCTTACCAAGGGCAGAAGGTTGATATGTGTTGAATTGCAAGGTCAATTGAAAGAGTACATTTATGTGAGTAAAGATAAAAGAATGCCCAGGGTACAAGATCTCCACAGGGAAATCAGATTTCTCTCTGTCCAAAACTTACATCTTATGTTTCACATCAATGTTTTCTTCGAGTGAGAATTAAACTACTATATCAATGAAGTTTTAAGTTAGTGTACGTACGTGTACTAATGAAGTGATATGAAAGTCTCAAGGTTTCTTGTTGACTTACCATGGCCACAAGAGGTATTTTTCGCGACATTTGATTGCCCCATTGCTGATGAGGAAAAAGGTTGTAAAATGTGAGTAGCTAATCTTAAATCCCTGTACATCAATGTTAGTTTGTCGTTTCACGAGGCTAAATTTCCCTTAAATCGGTGGGAAATAGCCCATGATACCTAGCGTCAGGATTGTAAAAACTTATTTCTTACCTTGAAGGACCATTAAAACCAAAATGGTGAAACAGAAAAACCAAAAAACCCTAACCATGAGCAAAAACATTCTGAAGGTAGCTGGCGAATTTGTTACAGCCTCGGACATAATTTGCATGTGCAACATATCTACAGAGTGCAGAAAGAACCAATGAGAATCAAAAGATTCACTCACATGATCGTCTACTGTGACGTCATCGCGACTTCTTTCGATGCTTAAGCCTCAAGTAGACAACGAATCCTTTAGCTGAGGAAAGTTTTAAACTTCAGCGCTAAATCTTCTCATGGAAGGAAGCAAGAGCAATGTAATAGTTTCTTCGCATGTTGATAAAAATCGTCCAAGATAAAACGGGAAAAGGATGATGAGAAAGGATGATGAGAGACGACGCAACGTACGTCTAACAATTTTCAGGTCGAGCCCAAAGTTCCTTAGAAAACCCACTCGCCCATTATTCAACAAGCCCCTGAAAAAAAGACGATTTGTCCCGTTGAATTGATGGGGGGAGAATGAAGGTAAAGATTATGGAAATGGAAACTTATTTGGGCTTCTGACTTATTCAGAGTTTGCTCCATCATAAGCAGAATGAAATGAAGCACTTGACAGGAACCGCGGAGGTCGACCATTTTAAAGTGGTAGGGCTAAAAAATCTGGCCAATACAAGCAAACGCTGAGGAAGTATTCGCCATTTATCTTGAACAGCTTTACCGAGCCTTTGACTTGAGGCAAATGTGTAAGAGTAGTAGACGCGTTTTATTATTTTCAAGTACTAAAGTCCTTATGCTGTCCATCTCAGCTGGAGCCCTAAAAAATAAATCCCAGCAGTAAAATTGGTAGGGCTATAGCCCCACCAGTCCCTCCCCCTCCGCGGTCCCTGCTTGAGCAGATTTTTCACAGGAGCAAGTTGCGAGTCGACTTGGTGAAATTGTTGGAATAAACGCTCTAACCCAATCGGGTACCCCAAACAAAGGGTGTGGAAGGCGAAGTTGATCACAACACCCCAACGTGGAGCTGCTAGTTTTTCTCCAATAAAACTCACCTGATCACTTTCTTCAGTAAAATAAGCCATAGCCATTCTTGCTTTTTCCTTGCTTTTCAGAAAACATATGGGATTAACAGCCTCCTTTGATCCCATAATGAACCTGTGAGCAATCCCCGCGTTGTTACCGATTTGTCGAATAGTTTCAAGCCTCTGGAAATTGATCAGAATGTAAAGGTCTCCCTCATCGGACAAATCAGATAATACTCCAGCTACAGAATTAACAATGACTGTGAATGTATGGAAATCACATATGTGAACTGCGGTTCAGGAAATGTAAATGCAAGTAGTTTTCGCCATAATGATTTCTCAGTAATTCTCTGCGCATACTGTACTGCGCATAACAATAACGTGATAAGGCGCTTTCCAAGAATACAATAGTCGTTTCCGTCCCCTCTACTAACTATGTTTTCAGACAGTGGAGCAGTTAAACAGATTGATGGTCCTGAACCATTGAACGAGCACGGTGACCTATGTTTATTACAACATGATTTTAGTGAACAAATTATTTCTTAAGTCTGAGGAATTAAGCAAAAATTTGTCGAAGGGTAAAAAATATATTGGCAAAAGCGTGCAGGAAGCCCGTTACTCAAGAATGTAAATTATGACCTTGCCGACTTGAAAGCAACGACTCAGTAACTTGGTTCATCGACTTCGATTACAGTTGCGTGATTTTTCCACAAATTGCATATCAAATTGTTCCATACGCTCGAGACTTTCTACCTATCAAGTTTTTTGAAATGCTACTTAAAAAAACCCTTGCTTCCAGCTACCGCAAAATGTATCGTGAACTGAGAGATGACGCGCTTGATCAGTGCTAGTAAGGCATAAATGGCGGTATGATTGGCCCATCATATCTTTTAAACAAGTACTGTGACCTGTCTTTGTTATTATATTTTTCGAAACAGACATTGGAAGGGAATATTTAAGGAAAGTTAAAAAAATATTGTTCGACGACTTTTTTTTTATTCTGAGGAATCGCCTTCATCAGCTTTGTTGAAATATTTCTCGCGCAATCATGAGTAAAAGCACCTAAAAATTTTGGTTATGCACGCGGGAAGAAAACATGCTCGATGATATACTCTTCAAAGACGGAGTTCTGTTTTCGTGGAATCTTATTTTACGGCAGCGGGCTTGTTCTCCAGTTGACGGGAAGACAGATGAGTTGATTTATTCATAATTATCATTCATTTCTTTTTTTTTCCTTTTTTTTACCTTGAATGATGAATAGATATTTTAATTCGATATTTATCTCAGGCCTCCCCCCACCTCAGTTGTAAGCTCTCTACCAAACCACCGTGGTAGATAACGCTGAATGATAGGAGATGACAATTGTGTCGACGAGTACATTAATATTTTAATATCTTGCAATGATACTTCAGCTTTGTACAAAGATGCAGCTGGCCTTTTAGTCTAGCGGCAAACTTTCTTCGCAAACTAGGGAAATCTACCTTAAATTACTAGAGGGTGTCATCGGCCAGAGACTCGGGGGTGTATAGAGAATATGGAAAAAAGGCCAAATGGTTATATGCTTACGAAAAAAAATTCAGTTTCACTGGCGTGTCTTTATACTTACTACCTAGTTTGTTGATCCTACATCGTTTTCCTAATTTTTTGACGGAACGAGGAAAGTAAGCTCTGAAGAAACATTCTATTTTGCAAACCTCTCAGAAGTGTCCTTCAAAATTTAAATCGTTCCAGATTTCTACTTTTGATATCATTGTATTTTATCATTATTACTGCCTTGTTTCTTCAGTTCAGCCGTTTAATGAATATATTGTTTGCAACTTTGAATTAGCAAAGTACAGCAATTGAAATGATGTTTTGTCCACCCACTCTCACCAAACTTGTTCTGTGCGCACGGACTTGTTCTGTGCGCACGGACTAGTTCTGTCTCCGTTATCGGTGCTGTAAATCTTTCATACTTCCAGCAGTTATTATAATCTTTTTTTCCTTTTTTTTTTTTTTTTTTTAATTTTTAATTTGCTTTCCTTGTAAGGTTGTGTTCTTAAGCGCCAATGTTGTATCTGGAAAGTTAGCTTGTGAGCAGTTTTGTTAGTGCCATATTAGGTCATAACAGACACCTTACACATCGTTTGATTTACGGACCAATAACACTTCCCTGGGTTATGTTAGCCCACTACGATTTATGTTAGCCCACTACGATTTATTATCCATTCGAATTCATCTGTCCTAGCATTTGCTTATTAACGATGTGCTCTCCATCGATCCACATTACATAACGGAGTCATTTTCGGGTGTCTTTCAAGTAAGGATGGTTCACCCAGTCAAACTTTGTTTGTCACTGAAACGGCTTCAGTGTCCACTATGTCTGGCCACGTCAATAAATGCCTATAGTTTATGCTTATGAGTATGGTCTGCAGACAGGCCCTTGTGTTTCCATTTCTGATTGATTGAGGAGTATTCCAAGTTGACGCATCCATTGCTCTACAATCTTGGTCCAACGAAGGCGTTGGACCATCACATTCACGATGGCGTCACGTCGTTTCACATCATACTTTCGTTGGTATAGTTTGATGATGGTGGTGAGGATCCGATGACGATGAAGATGATTGTTGGGTATGTCTACTCCACGTGTTGAGTCTCTTTTTGCAACAAAATAGTTTCCTGAATCCTTTGGAGAACTGATCACTGAGACACCAGTAAATGATAGGGTTGACACAGCTATTGATGAACGTAATCATCTGCATAAGGCTGAGTAAAGCGAAATAGTAATTCGGTGGTGGTCCTAGAAAAACAAGAATATAGGTCATTGATTCGCAAACTTGAATAGATCTTTAGCACGCTACCGTAACATTTATAAGCAAGACTCTGACACAAATAATTGACAATTCTGCTCTCTCATGCCCTCTGGCACCCTTAGTCAAGCGAACAGTTAGATCGCTCTTTAACATGTGAGCTTCGTTTCTTTCACATATACGATGAAAGGAACATTTCCACCATCCCCTCACACAGCTTTTGCAAGGAAAATCAAATGGTATTATTTGGTACCTGATAATCCAAAGTCAAGCCATAAGAAGGTGGCATACGTGGGCAACATACAAATGGCATAGCACAAAACAACAATGACCATCATCCTTAAGACATTTCGTTTTCTTTTATGGTTCTTGGGATCCTCTGTCACTCCACTTGAAGACGAGTTCTTGTCACGATCGTCTCGCCACAGTTTTAAAATCATCCTGGTGTACGCTGGGGCAATGAATAACAACGGGAGAAAATAGCAGAAGAGGAAGAGAAATAATGAGTATGCCTTTCTGAGATCGTTTGAAGGAAACATTTCCAACCATCCTAATGGCGGTGCTTGTTTGTAAGCTCCCACTTCAGGCAAAGCAACCAGAAACGAAGACATTGAAACGATTGCTATTATAAGCTTGGCTTGAAATTTTGAAAGGGGTGGTGTGAATGGTAGGCAGATTGCGCGGTAGCGTTCAATTGTAATGGCCACCAGAGAACCAGTGGATGCACTCAAATTCATAACCTGCAATGCTGAAAAAAAATCGCAGTACGATGAGGAGATTTTGCTTGGAAAGGTAAAAAATATGGATCTAAAGAAAGACAACTGGATTTTGGATGAGAGACACTCAAGTGAAATCTTGTTTTAGACTGTAACGGAAGTACATTCCCCAAACTTTCACTCCATGAATTCTCACTCAAGAAACATTTCCTTTTTTTGTCTTTTTCATTGAAATACTTATCTGTTCACCATTATGTTTATAATTATGCTCGGCTGGGCCTACATGGTAATTAGCCAAATAAAGGGTCGACAAAGCTATTTTTCAAGCGAATCTGTTAGCAAAGAAAAGCTAACTTTCATTTTTGTCCTAACCATACTAAATCTGATTAGATCTTTAAAAATGCATAAAGGTGTTAAAAGCTAGCTTAACGTGGAGAGCTTTAATATTTTCCTTTTTTAAATCCCTCTTGACCATCTCAATACCAGATTGTCACTGTTGTCGTCGACTGCATTTCCGACATAACGTTTGGGCTACTCATGTGGGGGTAACGAACCCACGCCAAGCTGGAAAAGCAAAGTGAATTATTGAATGATTACAGGAAGTCCACTTACTTGGCATTGTTTTACACCAGAAGAGTCCAAAAGGCCATGACTTTAATTGATTATAAATTAGCGTTAACGGAATGTTGAATAAGCACACCAGGATATCCCACACGGCCAAGTTCACTAAAAACAAGTTCATAGCCGTCTGCATTCTTTGGTTCTTGTACACCACCGCACAAACCATTACGTTGCCGATAGACCCTTCCAGAAAGAAAATAAAGTGAAAGGAATGGGTTAAAGTAACTCATCGTAGAATTAAATAGACAGGGTGTATTAGAAACATTAAAAGAGATTCAACGTAATTTTGAGGGAGTGTGGGTTCTGCTACATAATGATAAAGATGTGCAAAAGATTTTTGATCTTAACGAGACTTTCATCACTGATGAGTTAAAGGAACTTAAACTAATTAAAGTTGATCACATAAGCATTTATGCTTTAAATACAGTGTTTCATCTTTCAGCTCCTGCAGTCAGTAGCCAAAAGATGAAACTCTTTATTGTTTTTAATGCATTTTAAACTCATACTGGTATTAGGAAAGGCCAGCTTTAGGTAAAAGCTGTAAGTGACCAATCTACATTAGTCTAGTTCCTCCAGCTCATCAGCAATGGAAGTCTTTTTAAGACCAATTATCATGAGATTTGATACATCGATGAATGGCAACTCAGGCAAATAAAATGTATTCGTAGCAAAGAAGTGCAATCGATTTTTGCTTCCGCACTTAGCCGAAGTACAACGCAAAGGCTCATAGAGGATAGTAATAATTATCAGCGAAACGGCCTATGTTGGTTCTCAAACGGGTGAAGAACAGACGAGAACTGGGGTAAAGGAATCTTTTAATACCGGGAAAATAAGGAAAAGCTTTGAAAAATACGATTCTAGTTAAAAAGAGGCAGGCACAAGGTGTTGAAGCGTACTGACTAGCACTCTTGTAGCCGCTACTGAAGCAGAGCAAAGTTACAATTAAACCATGCTTGTCGCTGGGTATCGCGTCATTAGGCTGTATAATTATGTTACAGGTGAGTGGTTTGGATAGCACTTAAAAAGCTCTCTAGAAGTGATCTATGTTACACCGCGAGGAAACTAAACTTGACCATCACGTTTGTGTTTTCACCGGAGACATAAGAAATCAGTGCCGAACCCAGAAAAAGCTGTAATTTTTGTTAGATTTGACTTCCACATTTGCTAATATTTACTAAACACATTCAAAGTTGAAATAAATGACCCTGAATATTTACACTCATGGTATTATACAAATGAACCACTGGGAGTCTATGTATTCAAAAAAATTTTAATTCAAGACAACTGTCGTTCATTTCATCCAAATAGACAATTAGAAAGGAGCATTCCGAGACATCACGACGAGACCCGGCCTTTTGTAGTCTCGTAACACTGTGTACTGATCTTGTCATCTATACGTCAATCCCAATTACTCAAAGGACCTTTATCAAAGCCTAATTGCGTGCTTTTAACTAAACGTTAGACTTGAGTTAGGAAAACATTCGAGCAAATAGTTCACTTCCGCGTATTTTATGATATTTTTCTGTTGCCTGGCGCCGACTAAAGTTTGCCGCCAATTATGCTATAATTGGTTTATATCATAACATTTTTAGAAGATAAATATTTTTTGTTTAAACAAGTTGAATTGATTAACAGTCCACCCCATTTGCTAATAGACTGACGTCGTGTAAATTTTTTGTTTTTCTTTTGTTCTTAATAACAAATCCGTGAAATCGACTTGGCACAGTAGTGTTCAACGATGGCCACAGATTGATTACTTCTTGATACTGTGGATATAATTAGTGTGAGGATTGAAAGAGACAAACATAACTTGGGTTAAAAAATAGGAAAGTTTACGGCTTTGGTCAGTAATTATGAACCATAGTTTAAGCTTTGTAAAACATTTAAACGCATAGTTAGTACTCAATTATCGCTCTGTAAAATGTTGATCAGACACCACGGAGCGAATGGAATGTGGTTTCATTCGCAAAGGATTTGGGAGAAAATACGTCAAGAAGTTCTCAATCAATTTCGACAAATTGTAAGCAGGAAATGGGAAACAATAAGCACCACTTATTTATCTGAGCGTGGGAGAGCACCAATTAGGACGAGGTCTCGTTTACTATCCCTCTGTGTCGTGCTTATTGACTCTTTTCTGCTCCTTTGTCGCTTCGCTTTGTTTAAATTGACTTCATGCTGAGCGGTTGTAAAAACACTGAAATTTGTTCACGGTTATGGAAGTTATTATAGGAATTAGCTAATTAACCGCCGGTAAAATTAAAAGGATGCAAAGGACAAACTCTAGCTTATCAGTCTCAAAATCACTGAAAGACGGCCAGTTCTCGCGCCCATGACCTAGTCAAATAATTTGAATACTCTTTCCCCGTTTATGCCAACTTTCATTCGATTCCTACAGGCATCTATGTGGGGATGTTTCAGAACAGAAGAGCAACAACCCCTTGTTGAATTTTGCTTCACATTATAAAATATATTGTGCTTCAAGAAATTAAAGCTGATTGAATCGGATAGCTTAGAAACTCACGAAAAATTCTTGAATCATGGTTTACAAGCATGCAGGAAATCAAAATCGATAGATCCGCTGTTTTTTCTATATCTATCAAATTCCACTCGAAGATGTATAGAGACTTTTCATATTGAATTTTTAACTTAACAAGAAGAAGCTCAGAAGTATGGATCTGATTACCCTTTGTAGCAAAAAATTTGCATTTCATTTCAGATTTTAGACAAACTTTTTCTCGGCCCCTAGAACAGAACAATAAATTATGCTAAAAGCTTTTTACAGAAAAAGTAAGGCCGTGGGGTGGTTTCATCTACAGAAAACATTCCCAAAGATGACCTTCATGTTAAGTTGAGTATTGCATGTACAGATGGCAATTAAGCTTTGCAGGTTTCCTTACCTACTAAAACAATAATGGCTCCAATAATCCAGCGTATTGTGATGACCCACAAAGGATCATAAACCTCTATTCCTCCTGGTGTGGCTGTCGTGTTCATACTTGTTCCATTACTAGTCTCCATTGCTGCGACAGTCGAGGTGGCGTCCATCTCAGACTAGAGGCGATGTGTTCTGTTTGCACAGCAACATATAAATGATTAATAAGCTAGCCATTACCTGACTGAAAGACGCATACTCAATTGGTTATTTAAAAGAAACGTGACGTACGGAAGGTTGGATTTGATCGAGCGACGTCATTCTTTTGAAACAGATACGCTTAATTTCTAAAAATCACCTAGGTGCTGAAGGCTGGACGTAATAAAATGTCAGCTAATGGTACCTTGAAGAGGAAAGAAGTCACTTAATATACGACCATTAACTGTTACTGATTAATTGACTAGTAATGCTAAAATGTTTTCATGCATTGGGACGCGCAATGGCTCTTTTCCGTCAAATGATTGACGAGTGTTTACATACGATCAGGTCGATCACGATCGCAAACACAGAATAAGTCTGACATTAACTTAAACAAACTTTTCCGTGGTCCGAAGACCGTGCTTGCAGTCATTTTAACCCTGTACTGAACGGCTGGAAGCGAGCTGAAAGTTCTCCAAATTCAGCAAAAATACCTCTCCTTCCGTATAACACTTACTTAGTTCTCACCCTCCAATCGCACACCGTGAGGTCGAAGTTTTCCGCTGGAGAATGTTATTTCAATCCTAATTAGAAACTCTGCGCTTTCCACTGAGTTGATTGAGTTTGAAACGTACCAAACTAGATGACGTCATAACAGGAGGTAAAGAAAACGCTCCATCATTTCCTTTGTAATGCCTCTTTTTATTGCAAATACCGAACACAGTGGGAAGAGATAAGAAGCGGGATTTAAAGAGAGCGCGTGTGGTACCCTCTGGAACGTCCGTTTCACGATTCTCTTAGTGAATATGTCAGTGGGTTTAAGACAATGAGTCCGATGCTCTTAACCGAAATTATAACCCATCTTTCAAGTGGTTTCATTCAATGCTTGCATTGAGCTGTGAGTTGTGATTTGCATTTGTCTGTTCAACAGTGATGCAATTACAATGGTGTTAATCTGTCTTTAATAATAAGCGCTTTTATGCACGAAGAGATAGGTTTTGCTTAAACGTCACTGGTTTTGTTTCATGATAACAGAAATATTATGACATACTCAAAAGTGTGACAGGAAGGCAACCTCGTTTTGACGAAAGACTCTATCGTAGATCGCTCGATATTGAACATTTTTAACCAGACGCTTTGTATTCATTGTTGCGGTTTAAAACTGATTTAGTGATAAAACATTTAACTCGAGCTCTTTGCCTCTAAGTGTCCAATACAACTTACTTTGTTCTGAGTAAATGCTTAAATCGTTGACTTCCTTACTTTCAAAGATATAATTTGGTGAGTGCTACCAACATGGTAACTAATAATTACGACGCGAAACACCTATGATTTTTCAGAGTTTCATTCCATATTCGTTTAATTCTATTTATAGCTTTCCCGGTTGGATAGTGCTTTCAATTTGCTTTTAAATCACTATGGATTCATAAGTGTCTAGTACCACTTAACGCAAATAACAGACAGTAATCGCTGGTCATGCGAAACCACACAACGCTAAAAGTAATGATGTCTTCAAAGTCTGCCGACGGGAAGGTATACCCAAAAGAACTCTACAGTATGTCGTGAAAAGGAAACAGCGTGCCACGGAATTTAGGCGTGAAACGGAAAAACATAATGGGCTGATATGATCAAAAGAGAAACTGCCGTGCTTAAGACACTATTGTGAGTCACTCACTCAAGTTATAGGTTTACTTTTAACCTCTACGACCGAGAAGGGGACCTCAAAATTCTAGAGAAGCGCTGCTTGATTACAAAAGCATGGTATACTAGGTGCATATTTTGTGTAACTTTTCGTCAAAACAAAGTCTTAAAGAGCCTCAAACTCTCTTGAGTATCAGAGGTCAGTATTTCTTTCTTGAGACCACCTTTATGGCTTCGGTTAACGCGGAGATGGAATCGGAATTTTACAACATACGTGTAATAAAACTATTCGTATAAAAACAGCATTTTACTTATTGAAAAAAAAAAAAACCAAAGTTGTATCATTCCTTTACTGATAATGAGAACCAGGCAAAAATGGTTGTCACAAGGTCGAACGGCAGTGCGGGCAACATTTGTTCCGTTTCAAACGAGAGCTTACCTAACATTTTGTCATTTACTGTATTCTGATAGACTTGGTAGCAAGCTAACCAAAATAGACAAGATTATGTGTTGTATGCTCTAGGTAAATCATAGACGGCCGCGCTTCCCAAGAACACCGTTGTGCCGCACGTTATTTTAAACCAAGACAAATGGTGTTGACAGACCTTGATCGATCTGTTGCTGAGTCAGAAAAAATTTACCACATTATATCAAACGTCTTAAAAATAAACTCGTGAGTCAGCGTTTTGATTAGATGATTTTATACTCCCCGGTTTGAATGTTCACGTGATTGTTTGGAACAAACAACGGAAAGAATTATTTAAGATAAAACGTGGGAAACTTGCTGTATTTTATTTCCTGAGCCAACAATTAAGGGTTTTTCAAAAACAATATCAAAGTAAAGAAAAATTCATTGCAGGAATTTTTTCTTTTAGTCACTGAAACAGTAGATAGTTCACATGCTAGAGCCGAAGATATAAATACTTATCAGGTCAAGCAAAGCAACTCACCAAAACTCCTGAAAAAACTCCCATGTCAATAGCGTGAATTTAAAAACTCAACAAAAGCGGCTGAGTGTATCAGGAAACATAAATATTGAGGAAAACTAATCATTATGCTTCGCCATAATTTATACGTCTAATATTGTGAATCAGCAGCATTGTCATTTTCTAGTAACGTTTTTATTGGGCAGTGACCAATGCAGAACATACAATAAAACTTCCAATGTCCTCGAACAACTTCTAGGATCTTTTTCGAACCATTTTGCTTAAAAGTATTTTGCAGTTACCTTCATGTTTAGAAAACGAATTTCTCATTTCACTTGCCCACAAAATTTTTAAGACCTAACTGAAAATTTGCAGGTTTGTTGAGAATAATTCAATTAGCTTTTTCAACCATAAGTAGTTAAGTCGCTTAAGAGCTCCATTTAGGACCCCCTTAACTGACACCAAATTTGCAAGTCTCAAAATAACGTTTCGTTACATTGGACGAGTTTTCTTTTGAATTAATTTAATTTAATTTAGTTTTAATTTAGTCCATTTTCACTGCATTAAGTTTTGCAGTGGGGAAGGACTAGAAAGGAACATAGGAACCATTCGTGCTAGTCCACCCTCCCACCCATCCCACCCCAGGGGAGGACATCCATCACACAGTGATCTCGTGTGTGGGAAATTAACGTCTCCTACCCCAACCCTGCAGGAGACGGGACCTCCATTTATTCGTCCCTATCCGAAAAGACTAGAATATCTAACCATTTCTTGATGTTATAGAAAGGCAGCAAATTCTTCTCAATTTTTTTTTTTTTAAGACCCTGAGTGTTGGTCCGGCCGGGGCTCGAACCCTCGACCTCCCGCACAACAGTCCAGCGCTCTATCCATTGAGCTAACCGGGAGGCGGTTAGCTCAATTAGAAAGCTAATGAAAGAAACGTCAACTTAATTAAGTCAGAGCTGCCGGATCACTGCTCCGGTGGGTGATTGGGCGCCAGGCCCTTCTGATCCGATTCTGGTAACAGGAAGTATGGGCCGGAGAAACCAAAATTGAAACCTTCTCTCTTTAGACTAGACTAGAGCTTTAGGCTGTGTTCGTGCAATCTATGTCCTCTGGATCATTTCAATGCTGACATTAACTCCGAAAACCTGTTATGGCATGGCAGAGGTCGCGAGTTGAGGCATTTTTCGTGAATTACTTGCTCAGTAGATAAATTTCGGATAAATCTGTTCTATCTTCGTTATCTTACCACAGGCAGGGAGTTTGATTACTATCTGTTGGCGGACCATAAAGTTTAAGACGGAACAAGGACCACGCATCAGGATAAAAACATGCACACAAGTCTTATTATCTTCATAGGGGCGAAGCCGTTTTCGGTTGAGAGATTCTAAGGCTCACGTGAGTCTACCTATATCCACGGCCTAGCATACTTTTAAACTTATAGGCCTTTTAATGGTCCATATTCTTAACTTTAGATAACATACATCATATTTTGATTTTTTTTCGTATGACTCGCAGTTCACAGTCTTCTGCTCCTGAGTTATGGCGATAGAGAAAAAAAATGCCGTTTCAAAAACTGTCGCGCCGCTATTACCACCCATAGAGGAAACACAAGTTTTTTTCTTTTTTAAATATATATAACTAAAACATGATAAGCCTTATTGAAAACTTTCTTTTCAGTGGCTTATGAAAAGAGAAATCTTCATCATCCGGTCTCGGAACCCGGATATCGCTAGCAGAAGCAAACTTTCTAGCTTTTATCTTGTTTAATCTAAAACACATGTAGGATACAAGAGTTCCATAATACGCAGAAGACATCTGTGTTGGTTGAAACACGAGCAAGCTTTGTGAAGAAAAATGATTAAACAAATGATTTTTTTGCTCCAAAAAAATTAAGATTTTGATATAAAATGTTTACGACTTTTTTGTTTAAAGGTTGTATCGGGTCAAAATGAAGGAACAGTAAGTAAACAGAAACACAGCGAGAATAAGCCAATGACGAGGGCTTTAAAAAGACACTATTGAGACACGAACAGTCCCACCAAAACGACTGTCTGCCAGAACAGTTCTCTCTTATAGGGTATCAATCTGTTTGACAAATTATAATTGCAAGAATATTGATTCTAAAAGCCAGAATATCGATGTAATTAACTTGCGTTGAAAAACAAAGGCAAAAAAACGCACTGCATTGTAGAAAGTATAAGAGCGAAAATGCATTATTTGATCTTGGCAGATTTTAACGCCGATTACAGTTAACCATGAATAGTACCATAAATGAACGATGAATATATCAACTAAAAGCCGCTTGTACAACTACCTGCTGTTAAGAAAAGTATACATCTTTCGGTTAGGTTATTTGAAATTAGGACTATTGGAACTCATCTGTTAGGTGAGAGCGAGTCTGTAAGAATCAATAAAACTGATTTACCTTCGTGATTCAGGCTGTACTTCTGTTGATGCTAGCGTGAGCCGCGGTAATTCACCTAAGCAGTCTTTTCTCCGTTTTGCCAAATTAATTGGGATTCTTGTTACTTAGCCTGTTTTTATGCATACCAGACTTGGTCACGAAAGCAGCTCCTGTTGTTGTACAAGCCGCGGCATACGGAAAGCTTTCCTAATTAAGGAAGGCATCACCCCACAGCAGACAGTAACTCCACACTCTTCCCGTCAATCGTTCCGTCAGTGACTGACAAGTAGTTCTCTACAGCTGCTAAACTAAGTCGCTAAATTGAGGTTTTGAAAAGTAAAGTAAAGCCTTGAAAGTCTCGCCCTTACTGAGAAGTTTTTGTTTTGGTAGCATGGCAGTACAATACATCAGAGTCCGTGCCTGATTGACCCCATTCCGGTAAAGCCAATTTTTTTTTTTCGCACATCGGCAGATAAAGACAAGGACGTTTTGTTTAAATGTTTGCTGAGGGATCAGTATACATTGCTTACAATTTGGTACTCGCCAGGTACTAAAATTTTGTCCAAAAAATATAGAAAATGTCGATGCCTAGAAGAAAAGAGTTAGATAACCTTAGATATGTCTTTAACTCCAGTTCGATGTACAAGAGCTTCTCTCCAACCCGTAATTTTCAACGACGTTATTCATGAAGTATGAGAATCATTTACTGTAACTTCAATTGAAACATTGACAGAAACACACTCCAGATATTCATTTAACCTGGGCTGTTGATACTGATTTTTGTTAAACTATACTGTAAACTACCGCTTGTGAAAAACCGATAAGCGAGGTTATTATCAAAGTTCAAATGGGATCATCAAACATTTACAAACGGGGAAGTCTGCCATCTCCAAGAACACCAAACAGATGGCAGAGCTTCTCTAACTTACGATACAACCAACGTGTCCCAGTCCGGGCAGAAATTTCTCATAAAAATTGTATCCATCGCAACTTTCACCCTGTCAGAGATTTATGATGATGCAACGAAGCAAAAATTTCAAACTCGTCGAAGTCGTTTCCTTACTTCTTAGCACCTGCCTGAGAGTGATTTTATGTGGTTATGCGTGACGAACGTTTCAGTGATGCATACGTCTAAAATTAATGCACACGATTAATGATC